TTTTTTGTGATTTTTTGGCCCACCGAGGGCCCTAGGGTTTTTTTATCGCAGGGACCAATGCAAGTTTGGTCGAATTCGACCGAAAACGGCCAACCCGAGGCGGATCGCCGCTGTAGGCGGCGGCACCGACGATGGAGCACGGCGGAGCCGCCGTGCCGGAATTCAGATATTGGCCGAAAGGGGCCCTAGGTCTGATTTGGAATTTTTGGGACACGTGTTGGTACCGGTAGTGCGTTTCAGTTTTTCGAGAAAAAATTCAGGAAAATTTGGGACAGCCCGTAGGCGCACTGTAGAGGCGATTTCAGACCCCGAAACAAGTAAAGATCTCTCACCCTACCTCCTATCACGACATTAAAGCTTAATAAATAATTAAACGATATTTTGTGACTTTATAGATGTATAATTGATTGAGGTTGCCAATGGAGCCCGAATCTGATACATTGTTGGTCAGTCGTGTTGATCTATTTTTTAGTATTAAATGCAGTATGATATTTAATGTAATTATTTGTGATCTCGTAAGCATGAATCATGGTTTCTTTTATTATGGTTTGTATTATGGTGAACCCGATACTGTGTTGTCTTGTTTGGTGTCAATTACTAGTTTACATGTTGTGTGTGATTGAATGATTGAGACCAAGGAAAAGGGTAAAAAAGTTATGTAAATTGATAAATGGATAATGTGGATAGTCTGACTAGATATCTTGGGAGATGGTGGACGGACCGGGTTCGTAGGGAACCCTACCGGGAATGTGGTCTCTCATACCGGACGGGGTATGGAGACCTTATGTGTTTTGGCGTCCATACCGAACGGGGTGTGAAGACGGCCCGTTTCACCCTCATACCGGACGGGGTATTGAGGTTTATGGTTTTGGCGCCCATACCAGACGGGGTATGGGGACGACCCTGAAATCAGGTTATTAATGTTAATAGTTCACGTGTAGAGGGGACTCCCTATGGATCTCCATGGATACTAGTAGGCTGGTAAAAGAGGAAATTTATTGTCTGATTATTGAAGTGCAAAAGTAGGACATGTGTTCTGTTACAAAGTGTATATGATTTTATAATGATTATCATGTTATTGTTTTCATAGGTTATTTTTATGAATCTCACCGAGGTAAGTGGACAGTAAATATTTTTATGTTAATAAATGAGTTTGTTATAAATTATGCTCCATTGGTTGTTTTTGTTTTCTACCAACCTTTACTCCTGTGGCAGTGAGATAGTTTGATGTCTTTACTGGGGTAGTGTAGCTCATTCCTTACTTAACCATTTCAGATCAGGAAGACGGTGAGTTAGACGTCTAAGGACCTTATAGCTCTATTTATAGTTTTTATTTCGAGTATCTATTTTAATTAGTTTATTCTTTCATGTTTTGAGTACGTTTTTTGTTATTGTGTAAGGGATGTTAATCAAAATTTTAATTACGCTTCCGCATTTAAGATTTTTAATACATACATCTTCATTTAAATTCCGGGGCCGTTACAAATCTCCTCCATATGAGTATTTTTTAAGTATTATATCATATGATTAATTTTCTCTCTTTGATGAGGAGTCTAATTGTCGTAGAAGTTCTTATCATTATCACTATTGATTTTCTGTAATATATACAAAAAGTAAAAAACATATTAATAAACTATTTTTATAAGTTAATTAACTAATAATTAATTCATATAAAATAGATATTATAATAAATTAATAAACTAATAATTAAATTATTCAAATATGATACAATTAATTAATTAATAATTAATACATTCAAAGTGACAAATATAATAAATTAATTAAATAATAATTAATTTATTAATATATGATAAATTAATTAACTAGTAATTAATTTATATAACAAGAACCTTTTTATTATGTTGTTTAAAGGATAAAATCATTATTTTTGTTTATTATGTTGTTTAGAGGATAAAATCATTATTTTTATACATTATTTTATACAAATTTGGCATACTAGAGTGATTATTTGGCATGTTTAGATATTATTTGGGATTTGTCTGCGCAAGTTCAAATCATGACATCCACCATAGTTTTGCTTTTGACTATACTTTTTGTTTTTGACTTTACTTCGAATAATTATTTAAAATCTATCTAGTTCAGCTAGTAGAGCGTGAGGTTCTTCACTTTGTGGTAGCGGGTTTAAGCTCCACGGTGGTTATTTATCTCTATGTTTAATTTTAAACAAAAAAATAAAATAGTATAAAAATACCAAATGTCTTCATCTTCAACATCTGTACCAGAAAAAAAATGTAAAATCTCCATTGATATAACATTTTTGCTTTAAACATGATGGACCGTAAAAATGCATAACTCTCTTATTTTTTGTCCAAAAATTATGAATAATATATCAAATTAAAATTTTTGATCTCTACTTTTATTTAAAACTAATATTGCACATATTTAAATAATACAACACAAAATTATTTTACCACAAAAGTAAAAAAAATGAATTTTACACAAAACTTCAACAAAATTACAAATTAAAACAAAATTAAATATGTAATTAATCAAAATATTTTGGTACCAATGTTAGAAACTCATAAAATGAACAAATAATCCATTAATCAATTCTATAACTAATTTTTTATGATTATTTTACATAACAGTATATACAATCACATTAACACATAATAAATTGTATATAAATTTTTATGGCATAAATGCCTATTGTAAATATCCAAACTTTTGAAGAAAAACAACTAAAGAATATCTTTTTGTTCTCCACATGAATATAACTTTTTGAGAGAGAGAGAGAGAGAATAAGTTTTTCTATGTATCTTTTTTTTTTCTTTTTATAAATTACTAAAAAATAGTAACTTCCACTAGATGTAGTAATTAACCGTAATTTTAATTTTATATTTAAATAAATGAGCTATTCTAACGGAGTTGGGTCTCATCATGGATGACCCACCCGATTAAATTTAATAATTACCTTAGTTTTAATTTGCCTTTTTCACCTTGGGTTTAGTCTTTTTTGGGTTTGGAGAGTATGCTTTTATATTCCTCCACAAGAATCTTGTTTGCGCAAGCTAAAAGTCAAATTTCCTTAATTTTCATTTTGTCCAACATAATGCTTTCTTCTATGCCTTTAATACTCTAAGAAGTTTTGCTTCCAATTAAATTTTGAGAAACAAGAATTTTAAACTATTTAGATTGTTTTAGTAGATAATAAAACTTAATATTTTATTAAATTTGTTTAAATGAGAATTGAAGAAAATTTCATTAAATATTAATAATGATGAAATCAAACGGAAAGAATTATTGACTTGAAAAAAAAAAGGAATAAATGACTTGAAGAATTGAAGATAATTTAATTTCATATATTTAAATAAAATTTCAAAATTGGCTCGTGAATTAATTTTCAAAATTTTCAGATATTTTTTGTGATAATAACACATCAAATTAATAATTTTCTAACTTGTCTTTTAATTTTTAAAAATAAATTTTTGATAATTTATGTGAAAAATTATTTCAAAAATAAATTTTAAAATTTATCAAAAGTTCAAAAAAAAAAACTTTACAAAACAAAAATCAAAGTATTTGGGATATTTTACAGATATATCTTGTAACTCGAACATAATACAACAATGTAATATATAAAAATTTTGTACATGATAGATGTCACATATATGTGTTACACATAACAAATTAATGTGATACAATAAATTTTGATGCGCCAAAGGTACGTGTCATGTGCAATACAAATACAAAAGCTATAAAATTTTAACATTGAGCATTTACAACATCAAAATGTAACAACAGCTTTCTAAAATGAATTTGAGCAAAACCAACTAAAATTGAAAACCTAGAATTAAACTTTTATTTATAATATTCACTTGATAAGAGTTAAATTTTTAATTTCTTCCTTAAACTATTAGTGGGCCCCACTTTATAAATGAGACGACGAAAAACTTTTAGGACGTGATGGCAGATAATATTTGCGGGCTTCACTAATACATTCTCCACCACGCCTTGCCAGCTGAAGGAATACGGCAGTAAGTCCCAATTTCGTGAAAATGGAAAAAGATACATACATACATACCTACATACATATATATATATATATAAGTAGTAGTGAAAATTGCAACGTGGCATTTCCTAAGTTTTTAAGATAATTTTTAAATTTCAATATTTTTAATGTAAAAATAAAATTAATTTAATGACATTTATTAGTTATCTATTTAATTTTTAAATACAATTAATTTTGTCACGATTTTAATATTAGATAACTTCTTCAATTAATTATTTATTTGTCAATCATATTTGATTAATCTTTAAAAAAATTAAAGACAGTTTTAAAGAACTTTTTCAATTAGTTTATTAAATATATATAGAGTTTAGTTTTAATCATAATTTTATAGCAGGGAACTTCTTCAATTCATTCGTTTTATTTTAAAATTATATTTGATTAATTTTCAAAAAAAAAAAATCAAATATAAAAATAGAATTTTATCATAATTTTAATGATAGAGGACATCCTCAATTGATTAGTTAATTTAAATAAATTCATATATAATATTATAATTATATAATTTTAATAAAATAAAGTTATTACTTAGTTCAAATTTACCGCTACTTCTCTCAGTTTCTTTATAAATTATTTCTATAGGTTTTCATGGTATTTATTGGTTTACAACTAAGGTACAATTTTTTATTTTATTTTATTTTTATTAAGAGGTTAAATCGATTATTATTTTTTTTTAAAAAATTAGGTTATTTTTTATTCTGGCGAACGAAGAGTCATTAAGTAATCTTTCCGGATGACACATACAAAAAAACCCGTAAACAATCAAGTAATTAAAAAAGATCTTGTTCTTTAGAAGACGGTTCCACTTGTGAGAACTCCGAATCATTAGGCCTTATGTTTATTACTGTTTCTTTAAGTAACTAATTGAAACAAGAACCAAATAGGGTATTAGTGATCCGGCCCAATTCCTTTCACCCGAAGTGTAGCGAAACCGGAGGAGTAAGAAATACAAAGCGACAAAATTTGCCGGGATTTTTCAGGGGCAACCTGGGGCTTCCCCTGGTCTTCGAAGAGGAAGAATGGAAACGGACGATATATTGGAGGAGCTACAAAATGTAGAGTTACAGATTCACGATTTTCAAGGTCATGTGTTCTGATGGGGTTTTTTTTTCTTCAAATCTCCATCATCGATGATGACGATATGATGTCGATTCCGAGGACAAGGGTTGCGGAAATTGATTAATTATTTTCCCCTGCTGATTAAGTGTTTGACTTCAGACGTTTTGCTATTGCTCTTTCTCGTTTAGTCTTCGAAATACTGATGTTGTTGCAACTGTTATGTTTTATGTACATAAGAGGTCACGAAGAAATGCAGAATGTTTCTTCACGAATATTTTTTTAGGCTTGTTTGACAAGTGTATGTATATATATATTAGTATTTTGATATTAATAGTGTTTGATAATCTTGCAGAGCAGATAAGGGTGTTGATAGAGCAACAAGAGAAGTTGTATGAGAGGAAAGCTGAACTGAATGAGATGTTGGAAGCATGCAAAGCATCCGGAAGCACTGTTAAAGATGGTGTTCCAAGTGCTGCCGAGAACTGGTCGGGACAATTTGAATGGGACTCTTTAGCTGATGATGTTAGATTTAATATTTTTGGCATTTCCACATATCGTGCGAATCAGAGGGAAGTAAGTGTCTTTCAATCCCAATTTATCCATCGCTTTGCCTTCCTATTTACTTGGTGGTGACTTCTCTGCTTAGCTTTTCTATTTCTGTTAATCTCCTCCAAACTTCCTTGTCCCCAGGCCTGACCTGTCACGTGCATGCACACACGCAACCATCTGCAACCGTCTAAGGGAAACCTTGAATAATCCAGTTTGAGTTTTTGGTCGTTCCTATTACTTTGCCTATTTTTTAGATATCTTAAAGAGAATCTCTTTTTATGTGCATAGTTGGAGGTACATTGAGCGTAGACTGCCTACAAGAATGTCATAGTTGGGTCCTCGCCTCAATAATTTAGTCATAGAAGAAACCAATTTTTTTTCTGGTAATTTAATCTTTTTCCAAGTATTTTATCATAGTAGAAAATTTTAAAGAGGTTTTTATTGATGATGGAATGAAAGGAAAGTTTGTATCACCTAAATGGGATGTGAAGCTCTTTGGGAAGTTGGGAGACTGTTGACGTGTTTGATTTAGGAAAAAGCAGAGGCTTTTTATGCTCTCTGCAGGAAAGAGAAGTATGAGCACAATGTGTTTGGAATATCAAAACACAGTTGGAGTTGGCAAAGGTGACATGTTTTATGAAGACCAAACAGGCCGAGTTTTGAGAATCAGATATTTTAGTTTTTCAGTAAAAATTAAAGAATAAAAAATAAAAAAAGAAGACATCTGTCTAACAAAACAAACCTTATATATATGCTTAAATGGCTTTCTAGTGGGTTTCTCCTTCTCACATTTTCTTTGTGCTTGCTTATTAATTTGGTATTTTAACTATGCTAATATATTGTTTTGAGGTCTAATGGGTTATCACAAGAACAATATTGGTGGGATGCTTTCTGTCTTTAAATGGTTTTCCTTTAAATGATGTTGTTTTGGAGAAAATTGCTTTGGTAGCCTGGGCATCTGATTGTTAATGAGCTTTTATAGAGCACTTCTTAGCAAGTGGCATTGGAAAATCTGTGAATAACCACAGTTGCCAATGGTGGAGGCTGATTAGAGCAAAGTATGGGTTGGAGGAAAGAGAGTGGAGGACTAAAAGTTTTAAGTGTTAATATAGAACAAGTCTTTAGAGGTAGATTAGTAGGGGAAGAAGTTCAAAGAATTTATTCACTTCAAGGTGGCTAATGCTGCAAGAATTTGATCTTGGGGAGACATTTTTGTGGCTTTTCATGCGCAAGCAGTTCCCTCCTTTGTTTCCTTGGTGAGGTGAAAGAACTCTTTCTTGTTCACTGATGTTTCTTGTTTAAGAATGGGGCAGGTTCTCCTTTATAATCGTTTGCTAAGATGCCACTTCTTTTTTTGGCATTAGTGGTATTTGGTTTTGGATTTTCTCAAAGTGTGATGCTGATGGCTAGTTTAGTTGTAGACTAGTTTTGGGCTTGGCAAGGTATCTTGAGGGACATGTGGAAGGAGATAAATGCAAGAGCCTTCTGGGGATGTTTCCCGCTTTTTATTGAGTTCCAGAAGTAACCAAATATGCCTATATGTCTTGATGATATTAGCCCTTCTGATATAGTATTTTTGATTGTCAAATATGAAGATTGTGTTTCTATTATTTCATGTAACATTTGCATTTTGTACATAATGTTATCAGATAATAAATGCTATCATGGGTGGAAGAGATGTTCTGGTGATTATGGCTGCAGGTGGTGGCAAGAGCCTTTGTTATCAACTTCCAGCTGTCCTTCGTCATGGAGTTGCTCTTGTTGTTAGTCCTTTGCTCTCTCTAATTCAGGATCAGGTGTTTTGTTCTTTCATATATATTCTTCATTTATTTTACATATTCACTATTGTGCCTTTTCTTTAATTTAAGATTGCCTTTCTCAAACTATTCAATGATTCAGGTGATGGGTTTGGCTGCTTTAGGGATTCCTGCACATATGTTGACATCAACTACTAATAAGGAAAATGAGAAGTTTATATATAAGGCCCTTGAAAAAGGGGAAGCAGAGTTAAAACTATTGTACGTGACACCAGAAAAGATATCGAAAAGCAAAAGATTTATGTCGAAGCTCGAAAAGTGTTATAGTGCTTGCCGTCTTTCACTAATTTCAATTGATGTGAGTATATTCTTTCCAACATGCTTTTTAGTCTTCAATATGGAGGTGGATGTTTATTTTTTCCTTTTTGTGTTCGTTGATAATTTTGGTCTTATGGTTGGGACTTGAAAATGTGATTCAAATTATGACTAATTTCTTGGCAGTTCTCTTCATTTATGCCTTATTATGTGGTTGGATAAACATGAATGTGTGAGAAAGGAAGTCCTTTATATCCTATTATAACATTATTGAATGGCTTTTAAGAAAAAGATCATTGAGTGGGTACATGTCGTGTGCAAAAGTAAATAATGGTTTTCTTCTCTATCCTTTTGTAACTACTGTTTTATGCATCCATTTAGTGTTGCGTTTTTGTATGTTGAGAAAGTCTTTATGGGTTCTGATGGGGGTGATGGCATCTCAGGTTTTTTCTCATA